AAAGGTAAAGCTAAACAGTCTTGTATGTTACTAGCAATGTATTATGGGTAATAAAAAAATACACAGTCTGTAAATTTTTTAGTTTCCTTTTGGTGAAACTTGAATAAACTGACATACCTGCAGGAAATGTTTTATTTTGACCGACAAAGCCACCAGTAGTGCCAATAGCGGTAGCTCCAAACAATCCTTTACTTGTATCTGTCTGTGTTCTGGAGCCACCTGCTCCAAGTAATCCAGACTCCTTCACCAAAAAGAAACTTTTACGGTTTGCTCCGTAGTGCTCAAGTCTCAATTCCTGACAAGTAAGATACAATACTATTCAAAAGTATCTGTCACTAAAACCTACATACCATAATTACTCTATTAGCATGGTAATCGCTTATGTAAATGGAAAAGATGTGTCAATAGTCAATATAAGTAGCATAATAATAATAATAATCAGGTATGAAATAAAACCTTCTAATAAAGTAAATATGGTCAATCACATTTTACAATGTTGAATTTCTAAACAACGTTGGCTTCATCCGTGAAGAATCACTACACTTTCATAAATCCACGCTGCATCATTGGCACACTTAGTTTGGAATTTGTTTGTATGACTTAGTTTTTCTTACCTCCAAACATTTACTTTCATATTCTTTCATAGCTGTGATACATTGATGTCTTGTGTTGATATTGGAGGAAACACCCCTCTTCTGCATTATATCGGTAACCATAGGAGGCTGTCAAGAAATATGCAAAACAGTATAAGAATATGTATCAGGTTATGCATAATAAACAATTAGTTGTCAATGACATAATCCCTGTTTGTATTAAAAACGCACGATTTATACATACATATCATACACGGTTCCGGAATGATCCAAACATTAATTAATAAGTAAATAAATGCAGACTGTGTACTTACATTGAATTTTATAGTTGTACCTGTGGGAACATTGGCATCAAACCCACCAGCACCAAAAAGTCCAGCAGTGGGTGTTGTTCTAGTTTGTCCAAATGGTGCTGTGGCAGCCGTCTGACCAAATAGACCACCACTTCCTGCTGTACCTGAATGTAATGACAACAACAACAAATTATACCATTACAGATGAATTGGGGTAGCCACAGTAAGTTACAAGTGAACGATTGTAAATATAATTTACTTTTACCACTGGTAGAAGAATTCTTTATTAGTCTTGCAACGTACACCTATGCCGTAAGTTAACCTTCATTTATTTGGCAATTGCAACCAAATTACCTCTTTCTGCTAATAACTGAAATTGCTCTTACAATTGCTTAACACTGACCACTTCACAAGTAATACACAGTTAAATTTAGTCCATTGAGTTCCTGCATACTAAAATAGTGAACAAATGACAAAACATTCTTTTGGACACATATGTTTTACCCCTTAATACCAAAAAGGCCTCAGAATACCCCCTAACTTAGTCAATAAACTAGACTTGTGAAATTTGCATGTTTTTAGAAGTGCACACATGACTGTATAATGATTACATGTGGTATAACTAACTTGTGATTTAGATGTATGTTTGATTATATTAGTTGAACTCAATAAATTGAAGATG